TTAGGACAGGATTTGTTGAAACACCCCTGAGGGGAAAAGTGGCTCTTCGTTGTACTGAACCTACACAGACACCAGATTTCTTTTGTTCAGTCAATCGAAATACGAAGCCATCCACAAAACTCTTCTTTCCTTTCTCTTCTTTTCATCCAACAGATATTTATTAATGATAATATATAAAGGAAAATGTACAGGCCACTACATGAATTTGAGTTACACCCACAGGAATTAAAGGAATAATATAAAGTGGAATTATAAAATTTGCCCAGTAAATTATTAAACCATCAGTTATATTATTTCGACCTCTCTCATTTGATCCCCTGGCCTCACTTTCTTCTCTACATTCTTTCTTCTTTTAATGTCCCTCTGCCTCTACCCACATGTTCATTACCTTCTTTCGTGTGCCTCTTTCATCCTTTTTTGTCCTTTTGTTCATGTGCCTTTTGCCTCCACAGTTGCCTCCATTACTACCTGTTAGCTAGCGATGTATACTCAGACCACTGTGGGAATAGATGATTTTGTCTTAAAATAATAAAATTCTCCTGAATTCATTTTCTCCTTTCCATCCACTTATCGCTGCTTGAGTTCAGACTTTTATTTGCTGTGCTCCTCACAGTAATTTCCTTCTGGAATTTCTGCTTATTTTTCCCAAGCCCCTGGACAATCTATCCATCCATCCTCACTTTCACACACGTCTCTGACTTTTCTAGAAAACCAAATATTGTCATTGCCCTACTCAGAATCCTTTGATTATTCCTATGATCTACCAGATATGATCTAAACTTCTTTATAGGACCTCAAAACTCCCTGCCTACCTAACTTCATTTTTTCCCCTTCCTTCTAATTCCCCTTTGCAGGTAACCCTCTAGCAGCCCAGGAATACTTGTGGTTTCCCAAACACATCATACTCTGTCATGCCCCCATATCTTTCCCTCTGTCATTCTTCTGTCCCCTCTGCTGCTTTTACACCATCTGTATGGAGAATTCTGAGTCATTCTTTGGGACTATTCAGATGAGATTGGGTGCATTCAGGGTGGTATGGCTGTAGGCCTATAGTACCATTCAAATATGATCTTTGCTTTTAGGCCTTCCCAGTCTCTCTCAGGCAGAAGTGGGACTCCCCTCCTCTCTCCAATAGTGTACATCCTTCCAATGCTTGTAAGAATACTGTTATTGGTATTTGGGGTCTGGACTTGGGCTGTTTTCATCCCCAACACCTAGCACATTGGAGTTTAATCATCTTTGCTAAATTAGCTTACCCTTTTACCTGACCTTCCATAACGCTATGGCATAGCTCTTCTTTCTGCCTCAACACCAGTTTCTCAAACTGTATTCTTTAGAACGCTGGTGTTTCTAAAAAAGAATTGTATATTATAGAATTAAGCTTTAGATAGCTATGTGAAATGTATGTTTGTTTTCACTGTAGGTTTGGGAGAGAAGTCCATTTCTTCTTTTCCCAAATAATCCTCTTATCTTTTAGTTCCATAATGATTCTCAAATGCAAGCAAGTTCTGTGAAAGAAATAAACCACCTAAAGGTGGTAGGTAAACCACCTAAAATTAGAAATTTCTTTTTGTTTTAACCACGATCTAAAGAACATTAGCAACAACAAAAATAAGTCATATATATATATATATGACTAAAATACCAACATAATTACCACCATTTTACTTATTTCAAACCCACATGTTAATCGGATTATTGCCAATGATATAGAACAAACTTTGTCCATTTACCTTACTGTTTTTATTTATATTAATTGACAGATTGACGTTGGTTCTGTTATCTGACAGTCTGACAGAGAGAAAAGTAACAGTTACAAAGAGAAGGTTTTGGGAAATAGTCACTGACATAAAAAAGAGCACCAAATAAGGTTTTATCAGGAACACAGGAAGCATACTATGGTACTGAGGGAATTTAATAATAGGTATTTTTACACAGGGTTTTGGAGGGAGTCTCCACACCAAAATGAGGAACACTGAGGTAATCCTGCGATGTAAACTATAAGGAGCCATTGCCACCTTTAAAGCTGGATAAACGAAGGGAAAGGGTTGGGTTATGAGAGCTCAGAAGCTCACAGGTTAGGGTTCTTGCTGAGTGAGGGCTCAAACCTCTGAGAAGTGACACAACCTGGCCAGTGCTGGTACCCCTGCAGAAGTAGGATGAGTCTGGTTCTTAGAGTGTAAAAGCGGGAGGCTGGAAACAACTGCTGAAGACAATGGAAAGGGCTATTAATGCTGATTGGATGCTGGTAGGAACAGGAAGCAAACAGAGAAGATCAAGTCTCTTTGCCTCTACTCCTGCCTTCCACCCTTCCTCCAGGGACTTCTATTGACAGAAACCACCAGAAAGCCAGCTGGTAAAGAAAGCAGAGTTTCCAGAGCCCCTGCCCCAGTATTACAAACCTGGAGTGTGAAGGAGTAGAGAGAGGATAGCTGAATAAATGGCATTAGGAGTAATTAAATACAGAATCTTTTAAAAAAATTTTATTTATTAGAGAGAGAGAAAGAGAGAAAGAGCCAAGGTTGGGGGGCAGGAGGGGAGAGGGAGAAGCAGACTCCTTGCTGAGCAGGGAGCCCAACACAGGGCACAATCACAGGGCCCTGAGATCATGACCTGAGCCAAAGACAAATATTTAACCAGTGGAGCACCCAGGTGCCCCTAAATAGAAACTCTTAAGCAATAGTCAGTGAATCATCTTCCAGCTTAAAAACTCAACACGATCATATGCTCAAAGCCTTAAAAAATTAATAATTTTCTTCTGTTGAGTTTGTGATTAGACACACATTTGAGTATGCTCTGTCACTACAGGTCATTTAGTAATCCGGTATGGGACTTACACGGCAGATACTGTTCTGGGTGATCGGGCTTCCACAGTGAAAAAATAGATAGGTCCCTGCCCAATCTTGTGGAACTTTCATTCTAGTGAAGGGAAAACAGACACTAAATAAAAACACAAGGTGTCAGATGGTGTCAGAGTACAATTAAGAAAATAAAACAAGTTAAGGGGGATAGGAATTGGGGATAGGGGAGCTCTTCATATGGGGCAGTGATAGAAGACCTGAATGACAGAGTGAAACTTGAGCAAAGATCTAAAGGAAATATGAGGGAGAAATCAGTATGAATATATAGGGGGAATCTTTTCAGGAGAAAATAGTTGCATTTGATAAATGTGACATTGGTGAAGATTTTGCAAGTGGGTGGGTGGACTTTTTGTGGGTTTGCAGTTAGATTTTAACTATTTGCAAAGTTCTGCTTTAGAAGACTATGATTCTAGTAGAGTGACATCAACTTATTATCAAATATAGTACCAAGTTCAAACATTCCACAAAACATTGCTCATCTCTTCCACTGAGGGAAAAGCTATACTTCTTCACACAGCAGGTTATAAAAAATTTGCTGATGGTAAGGGGAATGAGCTGAGTACATAATGGCCCACCTTCACTATAAAATACTTTCTTTGTTTCAGAGTCAGCTATGAAATTCTAATAATGTCTCAAACCTATCATTTGGATTATTTGAGTAAATGTAAGATGCCCAGTACTGTACATAATTACTTCTTTGTTAAGATGTCAACCTTTGTTTTTTAGTTAAGAGTTAATGAACCTCAGTAATTAGCCACTAGTCTTTAAGGCAGAAAGTCGGATGGACACCATCAGTACTCTTAACCCAAAACAATGAAATCATTGTTGGCGGTAGGATCATGTTGCCTTTTGTTCAGATAATTTTCTTCTTGGAAAATACATGCATACTTTGGATTTAATGGTGCCAGAAACACTAATAAGTTAGCTATAATTATTCCTGAACCAGTTTGTCACTCAAACAATAAAAGTGAACTTATCTGTAAAGTTAGACAACTAAAATGGTATAAAACACAGTAATACTTTCATGATAAAGTGTTTTTTTTTTTTTAAGTCAACAGTAATTCTGGTACTTGAAAATGAACTATACCATATAAAATCTCATTCTGTAGCTAGTAATAATTTCCAACAGGAAAGCCTGGGGTGACTATGTCTTCATTTGAGAACAACGTAATTTAAGACTCGACACTTAGAAACTAGAAATTTGAGTGACCTCAGTAAATTTGTTTTTCATGTTAAAAGGAATCTTGAGAGGTCAGTGGTGCCCAGCGGAAGGCAAGAACTTGGGTCTGGCAGGAAAACCACCACATGTGGCTTGTAGTATTTTCAATTAACCTCTCTGCCTAGGTTCCTCCCCTTGTCCGGTAGGGATAATAGTAATTGCTGTCTTCCATGGGAAGTAAGCCTGCGCTTTGACATCTCTGGCCAAAGATGCTATATCAACACAAATGATTAATATTAGAACATAATGCCTGAATGCACATAAAATACCAGCATAGTGTTCTTTTAATGCTTGTATAATATCTATAAATACTGCTCTTCCATGCTCTCGCTTCACTTTAGGTCAAAGAAGAATATAATCATAGTATGTCACTAATCCAATTTCTGAAAATATGGAGGAAACATATTTTTTAAAGCTCCATATCATCCTTTTGAGAAGCACTAAACCTGCTAATCCCTCATGGTCTCTTGTAGCAATTGCACAATAGCCCCCCATATTAAGCCTCTGGCACCTTTTCAAATGCTGGCTAAATTACTTTTTCTGGAAACAGGAACCATCAGGGGAAGTCCAGGGGAATGAAATTGGCTAACGATATTAAAATTTTGGTTGTTTAACATTTAACTGGCTCTCAACAACGTGTTGAAGTGCTATCTAAACAGATAATTAGCTAGTCGCTGCACAGTGGGCTTTATGTAAATTTAGCAGGGAAATTAGGTTTAGAGAATGAGAAAATAGGAAAAGAAATTTTCTCAGGGGAAGCGGTGGTGTCAGCACAGCTGAGGAATGTCACAATAGCTACATTTCGTCAATTATGATCATCATCAGGGGATCTCCGGGAGAGACGCAGGACAAGGTTTATTCATAAGCGCATCCTGAGGATAGGCGATGGAAAGGAGTGGCTGCAGGAGACAGGCTGGATGAGAGACAGAGAGAGAGAAAGAGAAAGAAAGAGAGAGAGGATGGAGGAAGAAAGGTACTAAACCGAGCACTGGGAGAGAGGATGCGAGGCGCAAGTTGAGAAAGAAAAAAGAGCGGCAGGCAGGGGTAGAATGGTGTATAGCTTTGTAGGTGAGTAAAACACTGTAAACCAGTGGGTGGAGGGGTGGGGGGTGGTGGCTAGTGATGGAAGGGGTGTGATCTTGGCGGCAGGAAAGCATTAGTTTAGCTGCGCCAGGCGGCTAAATCCTTGTTCGACTTTCCTTCTTATTGGGAGCACATTTCTTGCTTTCGGTGGGGATGCCAGGACCCATATAAAATTAATGGTGTTAGGACTGAGGACGTGTATCCTCTGCATCCAGTCCCCTTGGGACAGTCCAAACTGTCCTTCGCCCCTGCAGAACTGCCAGGGGTAGTGGCTTTCAAGGTCAGGCCACCCCGGCTGTGCTTGGCGGGCGGAAGAGGAGGGTAGGGCGCGTAGCCACCTGGGGTGGGGGAGGGTCCTGGGGGATCCCAGACCTCTTACCGGCAAGTGCTTAACACTTCCCGAGGTCGCTTTACTGCGATCAGTTCAGAGGAAAACAGGCAATGAAAATAAAATTACACGTGCGAACATGCAAATGAAACAAAACCGAAGAAAAACACCACCGCACTCTAGGCGCTCCGATGGGGGAAATCCATGGCCTCCTGTTGCCAGTTGCCCGGCGAGGACAGCGGACAGCTCGGCGGCCGGAGAAGCAAGAGCGAGAAAGCAAACCTTCCGGGGCCCCTCTTCTCGCTCGGTTTCGCTGACCCTTCCACCAAGCCGCCCTCCCAGGAGAATGAGCAAGAAAAACGCCTGGTGCAAACAAGCCTCGGAGGGTTGGGGGAAGTGGAGCTGGAAAGAAGGGAGGGATTCGGAGAGCGCCGCTGTCCCGAGAAGCAGGAAGGAGAAAGTCTCTCCTTTCAGCCCCCGGCGTCCCCGGCGAGGAGGGAGATGACTACTTCTGCAGGCTATGTACAGCCTCCTAGACCGGGACCTTTAGTGTGGGCAACGGAAGGGCAGCCCCATCCTGCCCCTCCTCACTTCCCCCCACCCCTCACCCCTCACCCCTCCTGTCCCGGTTCCCCGCCAGAGGGAGAGCGCGGCCCGGGCGAGGAAAGCAACCAGCACGATTGTCCCGCCGCCCTCCGCCTCCGTCTGCGCCGGGGCCGCGGTGGACCCGCGAGGGGCGGAGTGGGCTAGACCATTGGAAATGTTGGGAAGGGGGGAACGAGGCGGGGACGGGGCAGGAACAAGGGGCGGGGCCTACTAACCTATTCCAGATTTTCCTGTCCTCTTGAAAGCTCTGCTTTGGGAGAAACCCGTTATCAAAGTGGAGAGAAGAGATTTTTTTTTTTTTTTTTTTAAGGGGGAGGAGCGTGTGTAGGAGGGCGGGGTGGGAGGAGACGCGGCTTGCAGTCGGCGATCAGACGGGAGCTGGAGTTGTGCGGGGAGGGAGGAAGGGAGGGCGAGTCCCAGCGCCCGCTCTGAGGGTCGGCTTCCTCTCCCCCTCCCGTGCGGGGCGGGGTGGTGCGTTCCGAGTTCCCAGGAGTTCGAGGCGGGCGGGTGCCTGGGGGAGGGGAGTGGCGGCGGCGGCGGCTGCGGGCGGCTCCCGCCTCAGCCTCGGCAGTGGCGTCGGCGACGGCGGAGTCGAGGCACCCGTGAGCGCTCGGCTGAGTGTCAGCCGGCGGCGACGGCTCAAGAACTGGGAGTTGGGGACCCGCGCGCCGGACCTACCGCCGCCGCCGCCGCCGCCGCGCCGCGGCCGCTGCTGCCGCCGCCCAGAGCCTAAGGCGCCGGGGCCTGGGGAGCCGGGGGGTGGGCGAGCGAGCGGGCCGGGGGGAGGGTGGGGGATGGCGCGGACCCCGGGGCCGGCCCCGCTGTGTCCCGGAGGCGGCAAAGCACAACTTTCCTCCGCTTCTCCCCCTGGGGCCGGACTCCTGCTGCCGCCCCCGACGCCACCACCGCTACTGCTGCTGCTCTTCCCGCTGCTGCTCTTCTCCCGGCTCTGTGGTAGGTGAAGCTCGGCAGCCGGCGCGGGCTGAGGGAGGCGCGACCGAGGGTCCCGGCGCCGCGGTCGGCCGGCGCGGGCCGCTTTCCGGGGCGACGAGGCAGTTGTGCTCGGCGGTTGGCTGCGCGAGCGGGTACTACGGACTTTGGCTGGAAACTTTTTCGCCGCGCCCGGGGCGAGGCCGGGGAAGGGCCGGGGCCGGCGAGTGCTGCGCCGGCCGCCCGCTCCCCTCCCCCGCTCGCCGCGCTGTTGCCGGACGCCGAGTGCTGGGTGCGCGGGGAGCTCCCCAGTGTTTGCTCGGGGGACCGTTACCTCCGCGCTGTTTCGCCGGGAAAGCCGAGGGCGCGGTCTTAGGGGCTGGGGCGAAGGTGCCGGGCTGCATGTTTGCTGCCCCCTTTTTCCCCCGGTGAAACTTGAGCTCTGACCCCGGATACCTTTAGGGACCAGAGCCCGACGGGATGGAACCTTTGGTTCCCAACCCCTCATCGCTTCCACCCTCTGGCAGGCACCATGTTAGCCCAGCCTGCCGCATCCCCTACAGTCAGTTTTCTACGGTCGTCCGGCCCGGTTCTGCTCTGGCAGCCCCTGGGTCGCGTTGCATTGAGATCATCGCTGCCTTCCAGTTTGTGGGACGTCTCTCACACTGTCCATGTTTATTTTTGCGAACCCCGTTTGTTCTCAGGACTTCGATTGATGTGTTAAATACCTGATTGCATCCACTGTGCTCCGGCTGTTCTGATCAAAACAAACCCCACGCCTCTTCCCTGTCTTTCTTCCCTCGTTTTATGTTACAGTTTTCCTGTCACATTTGGGAGTTAGTCTCTTTGTAAATTCTGTTCCTGGGGGTCGGAACCCAGAAGTCCACTTGTTAAGGATCGTGTAAAAAAAAAAAAATCCGATTTCTCAGGGAAGAGAGATGGACATAAGTTATCATTAATGGAAGGTGATGATTTGAGAAAGTAGGGTCACCAGTCTTTGGGCATTAGCTCCGCCTGTCTTCTGGTAATACTGAAATATTGCAGGAAGTTATTAATTTCTAAGACTCGTACTTGGTGAGGAAGGTGGAGAAGCAAAAACTTAACGCTTGCATAAAGATTGGTTTACCCAAGGCATTTGCACTGGTACATAAGGCTGCTGTTGGATCTGTGTTTAATGAAATTGTAAATGAAACCAGAAGTTTTATCAATATTTATTAAAAGGAGAGATGTCTGCAGATTTCTGGGATGGTGTGGTTTAGAAGAAAGAGTGTCCTGTTCCGGGAGGTGTGTCAGGGTGGTAGGTTATGAGAGAGGCAGAGTTTTCAGGAGATTGACTGCCCCTTATAGGCTGAGAATTTCCTCTACCAGTTCACCACCACGTTTCAAGGATTGTAATGAAAGTTTCTGATTTAGAGAGTATAGTCTGATAAACGGCTCATTATCTAATCTACACTGTTTCTGTAGCTCCACTCCCCAGCTGTTTGGTTCCACAACACAATTCTTAATGCTGTTACCTTTTTTAAATTGATGGAAGATTCTAGGTTGAATTTGTGTACTGTTCTTTTCCATTAGGGAAGATTGTGGATTACAGTTGGGTGGGAGCAAAGTTGGAGGGGATGTTAACAGCTTAGTAGCCTGATTTAGATTGTGTTAAGGACCCGGTGAATATTATTTGTATTTCTAATAAAGGCTTACCTAGCTGGGGAAAGCCTTATAGAAGGCTGAAACTAGGTGATGTGTACAGGTATTCAAGGATATAGAATTTGAATAATAATTTCATAGTGCTTATACAAGTGAAGTGTTGATTACTTTTGGAGGAATGCATTGGTTTTCGTGTGGAAGAAGAAAGGAGTTATTTGTTTTTGGTTTTGTTTTTTTTTCAAACCTCTTTAGTAGTGTCCTTTTGGAGGGGCTTGATATTTTTATTTTAGGTCCTAAAATTTCAAGTAATATAGGCAAATGGACTGTGATTTAGAGCAGATGTAAACTGAAGTTTTTAGTCAGTTCTCCTTGTAGTTGTAGAGACGGGCATTAGCTTTGTGTTACTGTGTGCACTGTTCTTTTAAAGAGCTTCCTTTTCTAGAGTCTAGTGTTAATAACACTCTAATTTGTGAACCCTGATGATAAGTTTTTTTCCATCAACCTCTCTCTGTTTTAGATAGTCTTTGAGCAGGGCACAGTTGCCCTGACTTACAGATGCTTAGTAAGAATGAAAGTAGAATTTTCTTAATGTAACCTGTTTGTTGATGTGATATTCATAGTACTACTGATAAGATTTTGTGTGTACTATTGTAGTCAGTTCTGGAATTGAAAAGATTTTTAGGCTTTAGAGAGATGGTTATCTGATTATTTGTTAATCAGAATGCTTGTTCAACATGTATGGATATCTTTTTTTTTCTGCTGCTGTTTTTGATATAAGGCTTATGTAAATTTAGCACGACCTTAGCTATGCTTAACACCTGCAGTATCATCTATTAGTGCAAGGTAATTTTTATATCATGTTCATTTGCTTAAAAAAAAAATCCTTGCAACTGGTAGACTTGATATTCTGAAACTGTTAAAAATGACATCATTTATGTTGTTTTGAGGGTGTACACTGTCTTATTTGAAGAACTGAACTTTTAAAACATTTATAAACTGTCAGGTTTTTTTCTTTTTTGTTTTCTAAGCCTAAGAAATCCCAGGGTATAAAGGTCAAGGGCACTAGATTTACAATATCATGTGACTTCAGAAATCTCATTTATTTAAAGCTCATGATTCAGAAATTCTGTATTTCTTTTTTTATTATTGAAGTAGAGTTAACGCACAATGTTACATTAGTTTCAGCCATATTTCTTTATGATGGCAGTAATTAATTCATAGATGATTACATTTATCTCACTTGCTTTCCACCATTTTTCTTTTTTTTTTCTTTTTTTTTAAAGATTTTATTTATTTATTTGACAGACAGAGATCACAAGTAGGCAGAGAGGCAGGCAGAGAGAGAGAGGTGGAAACAGGTTCCCTGCTGAGCAGGGAGCCTGATGCGGGGCTCGATCCCAGGACCCTGGGATCATGACCCGAGCTGAAGGCAGAGGCTTTAACCCACTGAGCCACCCAGGCGCCCCTCCACCATTTTTCT